TCAGAGACTCTGGGACTGGGGCCCAGTGATCTGTGGTATAACAAGTTCCCCAGGTGATTCTGATTCGGCAGCTCACGTTTGAGAACTGCTGGAGCCAAGCACACAGAACCTGTCTCATATCATTATTAAGTGCATACCAAACACACATATGAATGAGTTGTGGTTTGTGAGCACCATGGCCATCTGTATGGGACTTGTGATAGAAACTAATACTGCTCACTAAATGTTTCTGACCCTCTGCCTTCAAGACTAGCTAGAGCCCTTTTCTCTCTGCCACAGCAACTAGCAACATTCCAGAGAGTTGCTACTCCACCAGCCTAGGTCCTAGGGTGAGGCTGACGAGGAGCAGGCCTTAGCTAGCCCACGGTGGACACCTAATTTGAAGAAGAAATTAAACTTCATTGTTTCAAGCCACTGGGATTGGGACGTTGTCTGTTACTGCAGCAAAACTCAGTACGCTCATAACTCAGTCCTGTATCATCTGGTTTGATATAGCACTAGTATTTTCAAAGAACAGAGCTTCCCAAAATGCCTCAAACTCTACCACATAAGTGAAAGTCTGCTTCTCCAAGACATAAAACTAGCTCCATCTGCAGAGGCAAAAATGCCTCTGTCCTGAAAGAAGGAAGAAAGGGAAGCTTGGAGGGAGGGAGGAAGGCAGGCAGGCACTCTGCCCAGTGATCTCTAGGAAATATTTCATACCTGGTGACCAAAGTGGGCCAGGACTCAGCTGTGGCTATAGATAATGGAAGCAGAAAGAGGTATGAGTTGGCCTGGGGCGGGTGGGAAGCTCTGGTAAGGATGGTTTCAGGAGGGCTCCCAGATGAGAATGGCAGTTCAAAGGCAGAGGACATTGTACAGCGAGGAGAAAAACAGTGCTCCCCTGCATCTGTATTGAGCCCTGTGCTTTGCAGTACACTCTGGGTCCCTGTTCCATCTCTTGCTCCTTCCACACACAAGGATGGTCCATCCTATGTCACAGCTGCTCCACAGAGGCAAAGGACTGGCCCAAGATTGCACAGCAAGTTGGTGGCTGAGTCAGCCAAGGCTTTCACACCTGGGCCTGCTCCTTGTCAGCCTCCAAGAAACGAGGCTCCCAGAAGGTGACTCTGGAGTGGAGGATGACATCCTCCTGCCCCTGCCCAGGGCACAGGTGATGTTCTCATGCAGGATCCAGAGAACTCTCGGCATCCGATGGTTCTCACCAGGTTCTGGTGAAGTTGGAGGTTCTCTGGCTGCTGAGCGATGGGGAGGGAGACGCTGGGGGTCAGGGCTGCAGGCACCAGCTCCTGATTATCCCAGGCTCACAAGCTTCCCATCTGTCCCCCAGTGCCCTGGTGTCATTCTTCACCCTCTCACTACGATGTCGCCCTCTCACAAGCTCCCTCACCCTGGGGTCTCCATTCTCTCATGGGCAAGTGACAAAGCCCAAAGCCCACGTGTGGCCAGTTGGTGCCCCCTCCCTTTCCTCCCATCACGTTAAACAGGAACAGGAGGATGCTGGTAACAGCTGACACCTGCCTCTCCAGATTTCCTATGTTAAAGTCTCAAGCTGCAGCACCTGAGACACGCCCTTATTTGGAGATAGGGTCTTAAAAGGTAATCAAGTTAAAATGAGGTCATTAGAGTGAGCTGTAATCCACTATGACATGGGTGCTCATAACAAGGAAATGTGAAGCCATGGGAAGAACACCATGTGACGATCAGAGTCCTGCTGTTGCAGCCAGGAAACTACCAGAAGCAGGGAGAGAGGCTGAAACAGACCCTTCGCTCAGCCCAGAAGGAAGCAGCCCTGCCAACACCCGGATCTCAGATTTCTGAGCCCCAGAACTGTGAGACAATAAACCCCTGTCGGTGAAGCCGCCCAGCCTGTGGTACTTTGTAACAGCCACCCTAGGCAATCGACACACCCAACCCAGCCACCTGCACCTCCTGCTGCAGCCCAGGTCTGCCCTCTGGGGTCTGGCCAGCCTCCTCACTGCCCACCTCCATGCCTTTGCTGATGGGGTTCCCTCTCCCACCCACCCCTTGACGGCGTCATTGCATCCCTCAAGATGGAGCTCAAGGCCCCATGAAGCAGGTGGCAGCATTCTCTCCTGCCGCGCTCGTCTGTTTCTTTCTAGCCTTTTGCACATCCAGTCTCTGGGCTGTTATGGAATGATTTTGCTGAGTGTTAGTCCCGCCTTCCCATCATGAAGGTAGATTCCACAAGGGCAGGGGCTGTTCATATTTCTAACTCTTCTCTTCTATCTTGCAGCACAGCACTGTGGGTGGGCTATAGTAGGTGCTTAATAAATACTGGATTGAAACACCTTTCTAGTATACCCTGTAGCACACTCTAAGTCCCCTCCTTTGACTAGACTGCAAACTCCTCGAGGGCAGCAACGGTCTATCATCTGTATCTATGCCCCTGCATCTTGCGTAGCAAGAAGTAACAATACATGCTGCATGGGTAACGTGAACATGTGGCAGAAATTATTTACTATGCAACAAAGACCCTGTAAGTGTTTCAAGGGATCCATGAACCCAATGAACTTGTGTGCAAAGGACTTCGTCTGTTGGTGTGTTTATATAGGTACTATGCGTTTTCCCAGGGACAGGGTCCATGGGCCTCTTTGAGCAACTGAAAGCCAAGACTAAAACAATGTGGAGCACCAATGCCATGGAGGAGGGAACTGACATTTACTCAACCCCACTCTGTGCCTGGTGAGTGCAGGTGTTACTACTGCCATTTTACATGAATGAAAACTGAGGTTCAGAGAGGTAAAGCCTTGCCCGGGTTCATGAAGAGACGAGCAAGCCTGCCCAAGCCATCCAAGTGCAGAGACTCTGGAGCCAGACAGCCTGGATTCAAATCCAAGTTCTGCCATTTTCCAGATGTGTGATCTTGGGCAAGTTACAGAAGCTCTGTGACTCAGTTTCCCCACCTGTCAAATGAGAGGAATAAGGACACCTACCTCACAGGGCTGCTGGGAGCAGTAGATGGATCAGTGTATGTAAAGTGATCAGAATGGTGCCTGGCATGTGGCGGGTGCTGGGAAAGTGAAGATAAAGAGGAAGAAGCTGGCAGTGGCAGGGCAAGGACCAAACCCAGAACCCTGTGATTCAGTGTCATCACTACCAGCACCCAGGATGCCCCACATCCCATCTCCCCGCCAGAACTCTCCTGTGCCCTCCTAGGAGAAGTCTTCCATTCTAAAAGTGGCTTTTTGAGCTTGAGTTCCTGGTGGACCGTCCTAGGGTCACCTGGCCAGAAGGCAGTGCCCAGTGGTTACATAAGGAGTAGGTCGGAAGGTATAAACTGCCCTTGCCAGTCAGCAAGACTGGGCCTCCTGTGCAATCAGGACACTTAGTACTTCTGCCCTGCTCTTCATTTTCCAAGAGCTTTGCCACCGTTCACTAATGGAAATTAGAAAGGAAATGTGCTCATCCATTCCTGGAGCTCTGTGCTGACGTCCAAACTCCCTTCATAATTTCCCTGAGTCCATCACTGTGCCCTGAGCTTGGGCAAGCCGCTTACATCTGTCTCTGAAGCTTTGTGAGTCCCGTGTCCTGCCCCTGGCCTGGTTTCACACTACTCCATGCAGACAGAGCAGCAGCAGGAAAGCCTTAGTCCTGATATCGCATCTACACCTGGGTCTCGGTTACCCCATCCCAGGTGAGGTGCTGACCAAGGCCTCGTCCTAGCTCAGTCCTCTGCCCTGCTCCTGAGAAACGGCCTTTTAGGTGAACTGCTTTGTATCTTTCCTACAAAATCATTACTACTGAACCCATTGGAGGGTATATTTTTCATTCATTCTTGTAATGCAATTAGAATTGAGTTTCTCCAGCATTGGGGGAGATGTTAACAACAGTAGGGGAAAATTGTCATTTTATTCCCAACATCAACACACCCACTCTGCCCAAATTTTCCCTCTGGTGCGAACTCTCTCTACCCACTCAAATGGCAAAGAGAATACTAACAAGGAAAATCGCTCTCCAAATGAAGAGACAGAAGCTTTGGGGGTGGAATCTCTTCTCAGTCATTAAATGAGGGCCTCCCGGCTCCTCTGACACGCTCCTGCAGTAGAGGGAACCTTCCAAGGCCCGCTGGAAAGTCCACTGGCCCCAGTTCACTGGGTCAGAGGTAAGTGGGGAAAGAGCCCCTTAGAACCCAACAGGGTCCCTACAATCATTCTCCCAGAGAGATTAAGTGACTTGCCCAAAGCCTCATAGCTAGGAAGCCCAGATCTACAGGCTCCTGCTCCGGGGTGCCTCCACTGCACCACACTGCTCTTCTCCCAGAGGGCCTGCCGCTGCCAGCAACTCAGCTCTTGCCTTTCTTAGGGGACACTAAGGCTTGCATTTTCTGAGCTGCTCTAGACAAATAGGAAAAGAGGCAATGTTTGTCTTTCATGCACCCACCTCTTCTCCAATGTCCCCCAAATCCTTTTTGGAAATCCTCCTAGCTCCCAGAACCACTCCCTCATGGTCCACCTCACCTTTGCCCCCATCCTTTTCTTACTGTGGTTTTGACATCCAACAACCCAGCCTTCCTTCCTCTCTTTCCCATTTCTACCCATCCAACTGTCCATCTACATACCCATCCATCTCTCCTTCTATCCAGCAAAGCTGCCTTGAGCACCTGTACACCTTAACCCTGTGCCAGGCACCCAGCATTTCTTCTGCTTTGCTCCTCAGAGTGCCCACTCCAGAAGGAGCCACTTCTCCCCTATCCCCCACCAAGGCCTTGAACTGACGGACTTCCATCCACCTTGTAAGGAGGTTGATCTGATGGCCCAACCCTTGCTACTGAATTTGCACCAAACTCATTATTCCTTCTGAGCACTGGCAGCAGGCAGGGACTTCTGGAGCCGTGTGGCTGAGGACTGTTGCCTAGGGACCATGGATATCAGCCCCACCTCCCCTCCCCTCCCTTCCCCTCCCCTCCTTTCCCCTCCCCTCCTTTCCCCTCTCCTCCCTTTCCCACTGAGGCCAGAACAGCAGCAGCCCCTACGTACGTATGCAGAAGTCTCCGTTCTCATAGTAGCCAGGGCAGCACTGGGACCTCCGCCGGTACATGGTCCGGAGGCCTCTCCGATACGCCGTCTTATAACTGATCCTAAGGCACGAGGGAGAAAGCCACTTGAAAGTATTGAAAATCAATTACTCCTGTTTAGAATGATATTTGTGTTAAGCTATATTGAGGATGCCATTCAATAATTACTTTAAAATGCATGGCGGCTTCAAATATGAAGGAACACAATAAAAAAATCGATAGTGGGATTTGGGCTGTTGTGATGCAGAATGGATTACTAACACGGCACTTACTAAACCTGCTGACTTTTCCCCAGTCACTTCTAAATAGAAGGGCTGCAGAAGATACTTTCTGGAGTGACATTGTGGAGGGCAACCATGAACTTCTCCTTAGTTCCTTAAAACACCCAGATTCTGGGCTTGAGGAGCCCATGCGGTGACCCGGATAGGAGTCAGGCCCTGAGGGTTTCTGTGCCCGCCCCCTCCCACCCCTCTAACAAGCCAGACTGCTCACAGCCCCCTGAGTATTGGTCCCCCCACTGGGAGAACAGAGGCAGAGTCAGCAAAAGGACCCTCTGAGTCCAGCTCAGTCCCGGAAAGTAGATGAATCTCCCCCGCGCCAAAATAACACCTCCAGAAGAGGAGCCTCGCACGCCATCCCTGGGAAGGCCCTGAACCGACCCCTCGCCCTGCAAAGGAAGAAGCTGAGCCCCATGGAGCCGCAGCACTGGGAGTCAGACGCGTGGGTTCCAGACCTTATGCTGACACAAGTGTTAAGACTTAGCCCCGTGCCAGAGAGACTATGAGCAACATCTCATTCCTTTCCCTGCGGAGGCACCATTACTATCCCCCTTTATTTTATTTATTTCCCTTTTAGAGCTTTTATTCTTATTTTTTGTATGTTCCCCTCAACTCCCCACCCTTTGTTTTATGAATAAGAAAACTAAAATTAGTGACGTTAGTGACCAGCACAGCTAATCAGGGTCAGAACCAGGATTCGAACCTGGCTCACTCCAATTTCAAAGCTGCTAGGCTTAACCTACTGCCCTCTACCAGCTTTCACAGGGTAGATTATGGCTATACAGATGGCCACAGTGAAGGAGTAAGTAACAAGAAATACTGAATCTTTAGAAGGAAATCAAAATGGGGTATCCATAGGCAAAGCCCCTTCTTCACGTGGAGAGTCAAAGTGGAAGAGATTTGAAGTGGCCACTAGAGGCCAGAGAGAGGAAGTGACCTGCCCAAGGTCATGGAGCGGAACTTGGACCCGACCCCAAGTCCTTGGGCCTTGAAGCCAGACCTCTTTCCACTTTTCCATCAGCACCTAAGTGGAGCTTGCCCTGTGGACTCTTCCTCAGCAGCACAGCAGAGGGTCTGGTCATCAGAGACGTCTATAGGCTGTGTTCCATGGAGGGCCAGGACGGCTTGGGAAGACAGTCCTATAATACAGGCTGGGACAACCTGCCCACACCTTAAAGCCCCGACTTCGTAACAAATGACAGTGCAGAACTCTGGGGAAATCTGTGATATTTGGGAATGTCATAAGCTAAGGTCATTCAACTTTGTCAAACACCCATAATGGAAGGAAAGCTGGCCTCAAAGCAAAGCTACGTCCCCAGCACAGAAGGCAGCTCCCGGCAGTTTCAGGGCTTGCACAAGCCTCTCAGGTAAAGAATGACTCAGAATCAACTCAGGGGTCATCCAGCCTGTTCTCCCCACCAAACAGGATTACCCCCAAGCCCCCCAGTGCGGGGTGGTCTGGGCTTCATTAAAGCCCCTCAGGAGAGAGTTGCCACCCATTGTGTCTGGCTCACCCATCTTTCTTTGTCCCTGTGCAGGTTGGAAAGGCAAGAGAGGGAAGCAAGGCCAGGTGCCAGGCTGCTCTCAGGGGAAGGATGCTGAATTAAAACATGCCATTCCACCCCAAAGCAGACGGAGGGTGCAGCTGTTAGCATGCACACTCTAGGTCGTCAGGAAAGCTGCAGGTGACTCAATAATTTAGCAAAAGAATTCATGTTCTGGGAATACAGCCTATTTTAATAAGCAGCCACTACCTCAGTGGTGATGGATGGCAGCCCTAGCCTCCAAGTACCAAAAGGGCCACACCTCTGAGCAAACTTGGCTCTCACACTGGGCCTGCCGGGGCTTCGGGAGGAGCAACACTACTATTTCTGCCTCTGCCTTTGACCAGGCCCTCGAGCAGCCAACTCTGGCAAAACTAGTGGGGTGAACGAGAGCATTTAGTCCCACCTCCTCATTCCACAGTCCCACCTCCTCATTCCACAGTCAAATGCTAGAGGAAGGGGATACAGTAATAGCTGAGGAGCCCCTATTGGACCACCTTTCTGCAAATAGCAGCTATAAAATCTAGGGGAAAATATACAAAACAACTACCTGAAGGCACTTGGGGGAGGACAAAAGCAGGCGGATACTGGAGGCAAGTGGACATTTGAGAGAAGGGAATGGTGCTGAGAGATTCAGCACAACAATACTCTGGGCAACTAAAATTCAGATAGAAAACACACAACCTTGCTCGTTTGAAGAACCACAGGCCAAGTCCAGGGTGGACCCAGCATACCTGCTGGGTATGCAGGTGGGGAAATCTGTGATATTTGGGAATGTCGTAAGCTAAGGTCATTCAACTTTGTCAAAAACCCATAATGGAAGGAAAGCTGGCCTCAGAGTAAAGCTGCTGCTCCAGCACAGAAGGCAGCTCCCGGCAGTTTCAGGGGTTATATAAGCCTCTCAGGTAAAGAATGACTTGGAATCAACTCAGAGGTCATCCAGCCTGTTCTCCCCATCAAACGGGATTATCCCCAAGCCCACCAGTGGGGGGTGGTCTGGGCTTCATTAAAGCCCCTCAGGAGAGAGTGAAAGGGGAACCTTAGAAAGGGAGAGCCACAAAGAGGGAGCCCCAAAATCTTTGTAAAAATCCCTGCCCAAGTGTCTGACCACTGATTTATCCTTATGGAGGGCATATTCCAAGCAGCCTAGCTAAGGCTAAAAATATTAAATTTTCAGAGTTTGGAATTTGTGTTTAGCCAAGTAACCAGGCCGCCAAAACAAACAACAACGAATTAATATTATCTGGAGGAACATAACAGAATCTGGTCTCCACAACATGTCATTCATAATGCTCAGAATACAATCCAAGATTACTAGGCATATAAAGAAACACACTGGCCAGGCGCAGTGGCTCATGCCTGTAATCCCAGAACTTTGGGAGGCCGAGGCATGGATCACAAGGTCAGGAGTTCGAGACCAGCCTGGCCAATATGGTGAAACCCCATCTCTACTAAAAATACAAAAATTAGAAGGGCGTGGTGGTAGGCGCCTGTAATCCCAGCTACTTGGGAGGCTGAGGCAGGAGAATTGCTTGAACCCGGGAGGCAGAGGTTGCAGTGAGCCGAGATTACGCCACTGCACTCCAGCCTGGGCAAGAGAGTGGGACTCCATCTTAAAAAAAAAAAAAAGAAACACACTACCCATGCAGAAAAAAAAAAAGCAATCAATGAAGACCAACCCTGAGATGACCCAGATGTTGGAATTAGCAGGTAAGAATTTTAAAGCAGCAAGTATAGCTCTGCTCAAAGTCTCACAGCCAGTTAGCAG